CCCCAATCACCACTCTCTCCCCTCTGGGAATACTCTCCATCACCTCATCTAACTCACTCCAGAATCTCTCCTTCTCTTCTAACTCACATCCTACTTGTGGAGCATAACCACTGACTACATTCAACATTACCCCTTCAATTTCCAACTTCAAACTGATCACCCTGTCTGACACTCTTTTCACCTCTAAAACATTCCTCACAAGCTCCTCCTTCAGGATCACTCCTACCCCATTTCTCTTCCTGTCCACACCATAATAAAACAGTTTGTATCCCCCTCCAATGCTATGTGCTTTGCTACCCTTCCACCTGGTCTCCTGCACACACAGTATATCTACCTTCCTTCTCTCCATCATGTCCACCAGCTCTCTACCTTTCCCTGTCACTGTGCCAATTTTAAGAGTCCCTATTCTCAGACCTATACTCCTGCCTTTCCTTTTCTCTCTCTGTCTATGACTCCTACCTCCTTTCCTTCTTTGACCAACAGTAGTCCAATTTCTGCCAGCACCTTGTAGGTCAACAGCACTGGTGGCGGTCGTTGTTAACCTGGGCCTTGACTGATCTGGTCGAGGCCCGGTGGAGTGGAGGCCCCAGTGGAATTCACACTGATGATTCGCATGTTTAAATTTGGCATGTTTTTACACCGGATGCCCTTTCTGACGCAACCCTCTCTATTTATCCGGGCTTGGGACCAGTGCAGAAGTCACTGGCTTGCACCTCAAATGACTATATTTAGAAATAGATTGGGTTTTTTTATTCTTTCTCCTAACTCTCCTATTTCTCCCATTCTTTCTCCTACCGATTGCACATTTCTTGACTGCACATTTTTCCTATTTAAATAAACAAAATTAGATTTATTTAATTTTTTATTATTATTATTATTTATTTTGCCTTACAAAGCACACTGAGACTCTCTATACCAGAGTCAAATTCCCTGTGTGGCTAATTATGCTTGGCCAATAAAGATTCAGATTCTTCATTCACTTATTTACTGTTCTTTATATTAATGCCTTCAGTAATTTACTTTGTAGCAGGGTTCTCATACTATCAACTGGAGGATCACATCTGTTCAGTGAAAAAAATGACAAAGGCCACTTTTTTACAAAAATTTGGAGTTCATTCAGCAGTAGACTGCTGTCCCTCTCCTGCTCCTTAGACAGATTGAAGATGTCATTTGTGCCTCAACTCTTCGAGTGAAGAGGTCTGATCTGACTTTTGGACATGGACACATGATGTCACTACTCAGTGCCATAATATTAGGATCCCACTTCATTGTGACATTACACTACTCCACTGCACACTGATGACTCTTGTCTTTAGCTTAGCACATACACATTTCTTTATTTTGGGTGGTATGATTTTAGTAATCATTGCTGTTGCTACTGAATACCTGAATTTTCCTCAGGATCAATAACGTATCTATCTATCTATAGTGCCAAATCACAACAAAAGTAATCTCAGGACACTTTACAGAGTACGGTCTGGACCTTATTATTATTATTATTATTATTATTATTATTATTTTTTGTTCTTTTTAATATAATATATAAATTGTTGAAGCACTCCCCCAAGTTTAAGACCCTTGTGCTATAGTGAGTGATAAACTGAAATCTCAAACATGAAACAACATTTTGTTTCA